AGTCTCCAGTAGCTCAGTGGTTAGAGCATCCGACTAGATCACGGAGGGTCGTGGGTTCAAGTCCCATCTGGGGCTCGGATTTTTTCTATTACACTAAAAATTGTTTCATCTTTACATGCTCACTTTGGAGGTTGGTTGGCCGCATCTTGATATGCCTTAATGTGACAGCGTGATGCTGTTAGTGAGTTTCCACAGGTGCTTACCAATACTTGGCTGTGTAGCCGCGCGATGCGGTTCCAGTCGAGGCCCACAAATTGACCCTTGCTCACCATAGTCTCCAGTAGCTCAGTGGTTAGAGCATCCGACTAGATCACGGAGGGTCGTGGGTTCAAGTCCCATCTGGGGCTCGGATTTTTTCTATTACACTAAAAAATTCGATGTAAATCGAGAATTAGAAATTATTCAGAGCAAATTAGATGGTGCTATCCAAATACTCCATGTTTACTGCACGCATTTTTTTTTTAGTTTACAAATAGGGAATGATGAGTCGCCAGTAAATATACTTCATTCCAATGTCTCCCTCACCGCCCTAATTGGTAGTAGAATTATGTAAGTTATGCCGATGCGGTTAGGTCGAGTTAATTAGAGATTGGTGCAAACAAACGTATGATTAATCTTTAGTCGGTCAAAACAAGTAATTAAAAGATGTCTAAGCCTTCCCACTTTTAATGAAATGCCAAACTAAATTAAAGTGACTGAAATTAATTTGGCCTACATTAAAAATTAGAGGCCATTTACAAAACATTAAGTCTACGCATTATATATAACCTAAAGGTAACTGAACTCGTTTCGTCCATAACGAGAATACTAGTATTAAAATTAATATTTATCAATGTCACGCGAGCAAAGACTAATCAAAATCGTTCAATTCTTAATAAAAAATAGTTATATTTTGTACACATCGATAAGTATTTAAAGTTCAATTTAGAAGATGGGAAACAAAGAAAACGCTCCAATTGTTTTCGCCAAAAAGTCATGCAAGCATCAATGATCTCGTTTCGCCAAAAATATTATGGCTATCCATGGTGAGATAAAAGAAAAAAAAAATAACGGTTTTCTCAAAACAATGGGAACAAAAGAATCCAAGATGGCGGAGGGGTTAATTCCAACACACTGTTTTCGCATACGTAATGTTTATTGTCACACAACACAGGAAAAAAAGAGAATGGACCTATTACTACGCGTTTGGGTATCCCGGGTTAGACATACTAATCTGACCGACTTAGTCAATGAGCAGAAGTTATATTTATAAGAGTCTTGAAAGGTTTTCACACGCATGTGGTACTGGTTATTCAGGACGTATGATTTTTACGTTTAAAAAATGAGTGTCGTTTAAAACGCAAGTTTGGTAAACAAGAATAGACATGCAAGATTTTTGCATATTTCACAAAAGACGGTTATTTGTCACACAACACGTTGTCATACAAGGTCTTTAGAGCGAAATATTTCTTAAATAGTGCTCTTTTCTGCGAGGATCGTGCACAAATACGTTTACTCTCTCGGTTAAGTAACATTTTTACGTGTTCCGGCGATCTTTGTATTTGGTGCAGCTGCCTCCCTGACTGATGTGAAAAATATTCGTTAGTATTAATATTCGTCTTAGACGTCTGCATTAAAAAAATCTACAGTTTCGTTTTGTCTTTAAGTCCACAGGATTTCTCACTTTTACTAATGCAATGGTAACTATTCACTGTGCTGATATAAAACACATTTTTAATCTCTTTATCTCTGGAACTCTTTCAAGTTCGTCTGCACCAAGAAATCAAAGAGTGAATAATAAAAGCTTCCTTTTTCAGCTTGCCAATCATCTGGAGAATCCATTAATGCCCCAATTTTCCCATTACTTGTACCTGAAATATCACGGTTCCCTTTGGCAAGTTCATAAAACTGACCTTCTTAAACTTTACCCCTCTCATAAATGAAACCGAGAACTGTACTAGAGCGGCGCCATCGAGCGCCCCAGTTTTTATTACAAACGTTGCTTCACATCAAGGAGATCCAAATGACTTTCAGCTTTGTAGTCAAAAGCTTTCCGACCCTGTATACTCCGAGGGAAATTTCATTCAAGTGAAATTTGAATCCCGCACCGGTCCTGTAGACAAGGAGTTCAATGCAACATTTGAGGCGATAGATGGAGATTCACATAAGTGCTTTCTAACTTTAATGATAACAAGAAAGTATAGCAACGGCCTAGCCCTTGCATAAGTGTAATGCGTGACAAACGGCCTTCATACTTCTAAGATGTTCAATACCCATAATGAGTGTGCAGCAAAGTTATTAGAAAGTAGGTAATAGCTTTAACATGAGTTTAAACTGAGGGTCTGTCATCGCCCAAATGGAGGTTATTCGTAACTTCTGACATTGTTGCAAGCTAAATAAACTCAAATTCATAGCAACTAACAACTTCTATTTCCAAAAGTGAAATCAATCCAAACCTTATCTTCCAATGCCATCAATAATTGCGTCATCAGTTGTTTATTCTATTTTCACCTGTTTGACAGCATTTTCCAGTGCCACGCTGAGTTCAAGTAGCAGCCGCTCCACTGTCTCACTAAAGTCAAGTGGCGACAGCTCTATTGTCGCACTGAGTTCAAGTAACAGCATTTCCATTGTTCAACTGAGTTCAAGTAGCAGCTCTACAGTCCCACCAAGTTCACATACCAGCAGCTCTATTGTCGCACTGAGTTCAAATAGAAGCAGCTCCACTGTCCTACAAACGTTTAGCAGGAGCAGCTATATTTTCACGCTCAGCTTAAGTAGCAGCAGCTCTATTGTTACACTGAGTTCAAGTAGAAGCAGCTCCATTGTCGCACTGCCCTCACTTAGCAGTAGCTCCAGTGCCTCACCAAGTTCAAGTAGCAGGAGCCCTCCTGTTGCCACGAGTTCAGGTAGCAGCAGCTCCATTTTTGCACTTCTTAAGAGGCGTACAAAATGAATTAGGTCTACA